TGAGTTCAAGCTCACACTGCTATTCACCACTGTAATTTGGCAAAAAAGAGCTACTACCATAGCAGACCCAAGGGAAGGGTTATTACGTTTTATCTGCCTGCCCACCCGCAGAGGTTAACAGCTTCTCTCCTTGAACAGCCCTTCCTGAAGCGCCTGATGAATACAGTCGCATGACATGACACATTTGCAGCATGGGACAACGTAGCAGATACTATTCACTCTCACTCCAAGGTCATCGTTTTCAACAGAACAACACTTTAGAGGGAAAACGGTGCACAGCAATTGGTCAAATGTAAAAATACCACTTTGTTAAAGCCTTTTGGAAAAGAAAGACTGAGGGGAAGAGGATTAATTTCCACCACCACCCCAGGGAGCTCAAATACACCTTCATTGCCTGCTGACATGGTATTGCTTCTTTCCAGGGCGTTCTCCAAATGGTCATACCTTTAGTAGAGATTTATTTGCAGACAGCCAGGAGGTACCTGTAAAAGCCAACAGGCGTGGAATAAAGCCTCTGACCCCCTCAGCCTGCATCCTCAGCAGAGGCACCTCACTGCTGAGGTTAAGACGTGGTCGACTGCTTTTAAAAGCAAACCCCACTTGAGAGAGACTGTTCAACTGTCCCCACCTCCCGCCTGCCCCAGTTTTGAGCTTGCTCCAAGGGTGGCCTTGCACACAAGAGCTGAGCCAGCCAGCATCACGAGGAGGTAACACATTTGGAGACAGAGCTGCTCTTTTTCTTGTGGCCACTGTTTCCTTCCCCCCGCCCCCTGAACAGTTTTTCCATGCAATTAGGTCACATTTGAAAGTCAGCACACAGCAGCAGATGAGTTACTTTGTTTAAAATAAAAACATGTATTTCTATCACCTTAGGAGTTGTTCCTCTTTTGGCACAGGGACCCTCTGATCCTCCCACCTCCTTTTATCAGCATCTTCAAAAGAAGAAGGGAGTTATAATTGCTTTCTCCCCTCACCTGAGAAAAAGAGGGAAAGGCTGCTGTTCTTCTCTATTGGCATCTTGAGAAGAAACACGCTTTGAGCAACCATTTATTTACAGAACTAAAATAACATCTAGATTTCAAAGGGCAGAGCAGTTCAGAAGAATAAGGCTCTCTCCTCCCTCCCCTGCCATCAGCTTTTGCTTATTACCACCTACTGTCTGCACAACCTGCTGTTCTGCCTCTTTCCTCATTACGGGGGCACACACAGGCTTCTCTCTTTCTCTTTTGAGCACGGCAATGAGTGCCGCAGCACTGTAACTATCTCAAACCTACTGCTGACATTTCTGTGCCGCAAGCCAGCATCCGAGCGAGCTCCAAGGCTATGAGGCCAAGTCAAGGCAAAGAGTGGGATATATCTTCGGAGCAGAAGAATAACGCTGAAGAATCTGCAGTTCTCCTAGATCTGCTTTACCCACAACTGCCTTCTTGATAAAGAATAAGCCTCAGAGATCAGAAAAGATTTCACTTTTCACACATTGGAAACCAGTGGAAGAACCCAGCCCTTCACCCATCACATTTTGCTTTTGCTACAGATATCTAGGTATCGTTCCTGTGGAGGACCAGGGAGCAGAAAAATGGGAAGAAACCAGTAGTTCCACAAGCCTGATGTCTTCCAGCTTTTTGATTTTTACCTGATTCTTTGGTTCCTGATTAGGCAGGGTCCTCTGTGAGTCCTGCCATTCAAAGCATCACTCTCCCAAAGCACATTCGTCAATACCTGAACCCGACACATTCAGACAGGGGGAATGCTGAATTTTCTTTCACGTAACGTCATTCGTTTCTACAAAGCCTGACGAAGCAGTGTTTTCAGAGCTTTTATGAAAGGTAGCTGAAATTGGCCAAAAAAAGTCCATAAGCTGTTAGCAGGGACTGACTAGTAGGACTAACTAATAGGCCTAGTTCCATTAAGAGACTAGGCTGAAAACCTAACAGCAATCTGCAAAATCTCCATTACTCACTGCGAAGCAGCTGGAAAAGTATCTACGGGACCATGTTACATCTTACTTCACGTACTTCAACACTCCAAAATGCAAGTTTTGGAGGAAAAGCCATATAACACGGTCTCTGAAAGTAAAGAGCAAGACTGTTAAAACTAAGAAGAGATTATGTCACAGCCTACTGCAATGTGTTGCTTGGATAAGCAAGTTTCTTTATACATATTTATAAATATATTTATATAGTTCAGCAGATGACTTGGTGACTCCTCAGTATGCAGATGACTGAATAAAAATCCTACCTAAATCCCCCTGAACAAAAAGCATCAGTGTGAACTCAGGTAGATTAGGTATCAGAGAGCACACCACCTCAGAGAAAGCCACCGCGAGCTCATACAAGTATTTCTTTATGTAAGAGACCACATGCAACCCAGCATGCACTATGACAGCATTTGAAATCACTCTGATTTTGAAGCTATTTTTTAAAGAGAAGAATTGGGCTTATTTTTTAAATATTTTGGACACTGCCGCATGAAACACTAAAGATGCATACAAAAATGAAATGGATAATCTACCTTGTTTCTAATATACTCAGATATTTCAAAACTAGAAATGAAGACAACTGTTACAAAAAAGCCATTTATTAGATATATGTACATATATATACATGCAAAATTATTTTATACACATTTACACAGGTTCAATTTTTAATACAGTGCAAAAATGTCTAAAAAGGTACCAGCCCACCTTCTATAAACTTAACAGGTCTTTGGGAGGAAGAAAAAAACCCCAAAAACTCACAGAGAATGATCAGCTTCATAAAGTGACTAAGCACTGCAAATCTTTAAATTAATGAAGTTTATTCTTTGCCAATTTTCTTATGCTGAGCTGCTGGGTGAGGAAAAGAGTTTCCAAAAGACTCGTCTTGGAAACTGACAGAATTAAGGAGGTGCAATTCAAACTACATTAAACAGTTCAAAGTCGAACAAAAAGGGATGGATTCCTGTTTGGGGATTTGATTCAACACAGGCATAATCCTGCGTTATGAGTCAGATTTCATGTACTCAAACTGCAAGTCATTCTTTTTTATTAAATCTTAAAGCACTGAGATCAATGTAAAGTATTCTATTCCTCTTGCTGTTTCACCAGAAGAAAAAGTTTAACTGTATAAATACCACACAGATACAGAAGCCATTCAAAATACTAACATTAAAAAAAAAAAAAATAGGTCTATGTGTGCTCTGCCTCACCCCTGAATCATAATCCAAAACTACAAAGTGCACAGATACTAACGCACATGTATTAACCCACATAGAATCCTTAATATGGTTTACACATATTACGAGGGAGGGCGGGGGGGAAGGTTGCAAAGGGATTAAGACTAACAGCAAACCAGAGCTTTGTTCATATAGTAGAAAAGGTCTAGTCGCATCCTCCATCTAATCC